ACGAGGCTGTGAAAGCAGATGAGTTCACCTGATTGCATGACGATGTTTAATGTCCACGGCAGCCTGTAGTCCAAATTTAGATACTTGTTTGCAGCTGCCTTTTTGAAGACAAGTAAATACTTTTTAAAAAATCACAGGAGCTTGAGCTTGTGTTCACCACAGACCTTATCAGTCATGCAAACCACTTTTATAGTATCTTTTTATCTTTCATGTTTTTGCTACCATTCATTTTAGTATATAAAATAGAGTTGCTTGAAGATTCATCAAAAGTTCTCCTTCGGGTTCCTTAGAAAAATGTACTCCGATTTGAAATGATGTTATGGTGAGTAAATAATTAGGCCTACTAAATGTACATTTTTGGGTGAACTATCCCTTTAAGTGGCCTTTGTGGCCCAGCTGATAAGGAAATTCATTTCAGAGGTTGGTACGCTTCAAGGTTCTCAGGCTTTGGTGAAAGATTTATTTTTTCTTTTCTTGGAATAATTTCATGTTGGCTTCAAAAAAGGTTATATGGCATCAGGCTGTAAAACCCATTTTTGGTGCTAATAGGAACCTATTGTGAGAGTGAAACTCCCAGTGTGACTGTGGGAAGGCTTAGTTCCTCAGTTTGTAAGTTTGATGAATGGAAGTCAAAGGATGGAGGCAAGAGCCTAGCGTGCAAACTGGTTTTAAAATGAGAGTCAAATAGCTGCGAGAATTTGCATTCTGGAATCTATGAGCGAACATTTGACTGCTGAATCATCCCTGCTGCTGTTGCATAATCACCACAAAACAGTACAAACACGCACAAGTTTCCGAGCAAATGCTCTTTACAATATCTGAATATTTACAAATCCGAGCTGACAATCTCCTCTCTTGACAAATCCTCAAATAAGCATATTGTGTCACCGTCAGTGTGTTTTATGTTTGACCTGTGATGTATTATTCATAGCGTTTATATGCAACATCTGTCCTATTTTTAAATCACAAAAATAATTTTTAAATAAAGTTTAATCACATTTACGTATATTTTTATCGTTTTCCACAATACACCCAGAGGAATATTTTATTGTTCAGAAGTTGCTCTTTCATTGCTGAGATATACATGTATGAACTTTGTTTCAGAAGTTTCTCTTTGGATTTCTAAGAAGAACCAAAAATAGCCACAAATGACATACAGTAAGAGTATATTGGTGTTAGATTCATGTGGAAATCAGCTCAGATGACTTGGTCTTGGAAGAATGTTTTTGTTCATGCTGAGATCCCTGACTACTAGACTTTGAATCTGAGCACACTTTGAGACATTGCTGAGATTTTTTTTTT